AAAAAAAAAAAAAAAAAAGGAAAAACTACTCAGCAAAGAAACTCAAACCTCAGGACTGTATTTGCAACTATTCAGGCTGACCCTGCTCATGGTGTATATCCAGGCGGGTGGCTACCAGTGGAAACTTAGGTCATGTGGCTGGGTCCTCCTCTCTGGGTCTGGCTTCACTGTGGTATCTACTTGGCCCAGGTAGAAACAAACACTCCAGTAACAGTGACGATCTGGCCTAGCAAGCACAAGATCCTAAATTTGATACCGGTACAAAAACAAACAGAATAACAGACAGTGACAGTCTGAAGGGCTTGAGGCCAGGCAGCAAAAGTACAGGCCCCTCCCTGAAGCCACAGGAGAAGACAGGAGAGAAGACAGTCTGAGCACTCATCTTCAGCTCAGCCCAAGGGCACACCCTCGGGTATTCCTGGTTTTTAAAAGCATTAGCTCCTGTGAAAAAGGAGTGAAGGGCAAGGGAAGCTCAGGCAAACGCTGTAAGCTCTGACAGGGTTTCACACAATGTATCCAGAGACCTCCTTTACAATGACCTTCCCAAGCCCATCAAAACCAGAGAACCCAGCAGGTGGCTGTCCAGGAGTCCTCCTCCTTCAAGGCCTGGGACAAAACAGAGCTGCACTTACTGCTTTGGCCAGAACCAGCCTCGCTGGCCTCAAAGCAAGACACTCCTTTCCAAAACACACCAAAAAGGGGCAGCCCAGTTTACCATGCCTCACAAATGCCACTTTTCTGGCCCCAGATTACAAGAACACAGCTCAGTGTCCTCACTGTTTCTGCAAGGCTGGGCTGCTGATACTGCAGCACATGACAACCCAGTGCCCCTCTGCCCGGAGAAGATGAGACCGGGCTCTGAGCCCAGAGCAGCTGGCAATGAAGGGAAGCATGAGAGGTATGCAAACAATGAGATCCAACCCACACCAGAGATCTGAACCAGAGGTGTCCACATGAGCACAAGGCCAACTTTTCTCCAGCCTCTCCCAGGCCTGGGGCAGAGGCTTGGAACTTGCCCTTTCCCAGGAAGGGCACTGGTTTACCTGGCTCCTCAGGCTCCCATGCTCCTCCTCTCCAAACACAAGTCACCAAGCTGCCTGGTTGTAGAAACAGTTCTTTTTTGTTATGTGGAGAAGGGAAGGCTGGCAGTTAAGAGTGCACAAGGACTCAGCTCAGGGACCAAGGAGAGGAGAAAAGGCGAATCTAGGGGTGTGAGATGAACACTGGCATGAAGAGAAGCCAGCAGCTGTGGCTGGGCCCAGCTCTGCTCCTACAGAGTGTGGAGGGCCACCTGAACAGCTCTCCTTGAAAGAAGAGCGAGGGTCTCCATGTTGACTGAGCCTGACCCCATCTCCTCGTATTGTTCTGTACAGAGCTGGCTAGAACTTCTGTTTATCCTTCAATCAGCCTTAAGCAATGTGTACTGGTCTAACTGAGGGGCTGGTGATAGTCTGAAAGTGGCGTGCCTGTTTCCCTGGTAACCCACACCTGCTGCTCTTTAATGTGAGACAGCACGGTAGAGCTAATGCTCTGCGCAGCCAGCTGGGATCGAGCCTCGAGATAGAGGCTCTGACTTCCTGGGGCTTGAAAGCCTACATCAGAGCCGAAGCACCAGACCCCTAAAACCTTAGATGCTGTCTCTGTGGCACGATAGTATAATGCACATGACTGTCTCTGTGTATCCTCTCCGCATAGGGCAGAGGTAAATGCAGGCCACCCACCGAGCTCAGCTCACAGCAGTCACCTACTTCCCACAATTCTCCGTCAATCCTCAAGCCACTGCCCCACTGAATAAAAACCGGGTGAGGCCCTGGGTCTCGCTCTTGGTTCTGGAAAGCCATCTTCGTGGCTGGACTTAGGGCCCCTTAGCTCCCCAATAATTATAAATATGTTTTAGTATCTTTACTTTCACCATGGATTGCACTGGGAGTGGTAGGTTGGAATCAACTTGATGGGATTCCAATGATATAACTTTGGGATTACAAATATTGGCTTCTTGGACGGAGACGAGGACCTAGAGATGACTCTTACAACAGAGGAACAGGACTTCAGACAGGTCACTCAATGGTCCCAGGCTAGTTAGAATGATCTCCAACTTCTCCTTCAATCCTAGGGCGTGTGTGTGCCCAGGCACTGGACCCTGCTGAGCTCAGGTCTGCCCTATACTCCCCCCCCTACCTCAACTCCCTCAGCAGCTCCAACAGAGCATGCCAAGCCAGAAAGACAGCTCTGAAATGAATGCCTCCTGCCCTTGACAACAGCAAGGGCCAGTGGTCTGGAAATGGTGCCTGCTGCTCGCCCACCCTTCTCTGTACGAGAAGCCTGAATGTGAAGCATTCCAAAGACTCACGAAGTCTACCAGGCAGCTAAGAACCCAAAGCTCAAGGGGCCACGTCAGGTGCAAGGCCCAGCACTAAAACATAAGGCTTATCAGCTGTGTGGTCCTGAGTAAGGTATAGGTCATCTCTGAGCACCCACTGTCAACACTGTTCAGTGAGCCACACCTGGCCTTGGAGACTCCAGACCTCAGCCAGGACACAGGGCCTGCACTCTTTCTGCATTTATTGAGCGCCTCACTATACATCGGCACTGAGCAGGGTGGAAAACTCAGTGGGCATAATAAGGCTGACACAGTTCTGACTGCTGCTCCACACAGCCTGTGGTCTAATGAAAGCCAATGAAAGAATCCCACAGATAAAACCACAATGGAACTCACAGCAGGTAAGACTGGGATTGACTAACCAAGAGATTCCCCAACTGACTTCTGCGAGGGAGGGGAGCTTGAAATGAGGACAGTCAGAAGGCCAGCAAGTAGGAAAGGAGGGTGGGACAAACAGTCTGGAGAAGAAACAGTGCAGCAAAGCTCTGGCTGGAAGGAGAAGGCAGGGAAGCTAAGTAAGGGTGAGCAGACTACAGCAGCTGACACGAGCGGATCTGTATTTTAAAGATCTCTTCTTCTGGGTCAGGAAGAGAGCTCAGTGGCACAGTGTCTGTCTGGCAAATACAAAGTACTGAGTTTGAATAAGCGCTTGCCTGGCAAGCACAGGGTCCTGAGTTCAATCCCCTGTACCGCAAAAAGTACTGAGTTTGATTTCCAGCACCAAAAAAAAAAAAAGGTTCCTAAGTCCAGCAAAATTTTCATTTGCACAAAGAAGACTTAAACGTTTTTGTTTTTTGAGACAGGGTCTCACTATGTAGTTCAGGTTGGCCTTGAACTCATGATGTAGCCTAGCCTGACCTAGAACTCATGGTGATCCTTCTGCTTCAGCCTCCTGAGTGCTGGGATTACAGGTATATGCCACCACAGCCAGCAGCCAGCTAAACTGTTTTAAAG